TCAAAAGTGGAAACACCTTTAAAAAGAAAAACGGAACTATCCGCCAAAAATTCATTTGCTGCTTACGTCTGAAAAGTAACTGGTATAGACTGTTTTAAAATGTGTCCAATCACTTGTTTAAAAATAAATAAAATATTAAATAAAAACAAGGAAGAACGCTATAGTCGAGTACCTCGACTATCAGATACCCGTTACTCAGCTAAATAGGGATATGCAAGTAGCAAAGCGAGATTAAAATGCGCCACCTACCGGCGGTATACAGATTTAAGCGTTATGGGCGTTAGAGTGGGCGTGGCAAATTTTTTTTTGGACCAATCGATAGGTATTGACAAGACCAATACATTTCAGTTAAATTTGTTTATCTAGCATGAAAATTGTGGGCGTCACAGGTTTTCGCGGTTTGTGGGCGGTAAAGTGGGCCTGGAAAACTTTTTTTTGGACCAATCGATAGGTATTGATGAGAACAATACATTTCAGTTAAAATTTTTTATCTAGCATGAAAATTGTGGGCGACACAGGTTTTCGCGGTTTGTGGGCGTTAAAGTGGGCGTGGCAAACTTTTTTTTGGGTCAATCGATAGGTATTGATGAGAACAATACATTTCAGTTAAAATTTTCTATCTAGCATCAAAACTGTATGAGCCACAGTTTTGGGCGGTTTGTGGGCGTTAGAGTGGGCGTGGCACTCTACTGAAACAAACTTGCGCTGCGCAGGAATCTCAGGAATCTGCGTGCCTAATCCCAGTATTGTAACTCTCATAGTTTCCGAGATCTCAGCGTTCATACGGACAGACGGACAGACGGACAGACGGACAGACGGACAGACGGACAGACGGACATGGCTAGATCGACTCGGCTAGTGATCCTGATCAAGAATATATATACTTTATGGGGTCGGAAACGCTTCCTTCTGCCTGTTACATACTTTCCGACGAATCTAGTATACCCTTTTACTCTACGAGTAACGGGTATAAATATTTCAAACAAATCTTACAAAAATTAAAAATATTAATTAAATAACTATACAGTTTTTTATTTAACTGCAACAATTTCATAGATCCAAACTGGAGCTTCTTGATTTAAGGGCTAGCTAAAATAAAATGTAAAATATATTTTTGTGTACTTTATACCAACTAAAGTATTATATAAAATTTTTAGTTTCAAAAGCCACCTTTATAAGTTTTTTTATAATCTTATACTTAACATTTTATATATATTAAACTAATTTTTCATATCCCCATATTTTTCTCTGTGTAGGAATAAAGCGGATGGTTTTTTGTTCAAGAGGTAGAGGAACTGTTCCATGTTTGTTGTCTGTGCATTTCAATTGGGCGCTTTCTGCATTGTGCCGGCGTGTAATTGAAAACTTAAGCAGAAGCGCCCTCCTCTCTACTCTTTATCCACGAAAAACGCGCAACAAATTTTCCAATCAACAGAGAACGAAAACAGGGCCTAAACACCCACGCCTTCGCCCTTCGCCCCGCGCCCCCTCATTTCCCGGCTTTTCCGACTTCCTTCCTTCCTGCATATCCTGTTTCCCACCCGTTACGCCCCCAAAAATCAGGAGGCCGCTTGTTGCTGTTTGTTCAACAAACGTTTATTAGCCGCGAATACTTTTAATCGCATGCAATTTGTTGATTGTGGCCAGTCGCTGCACTTTCCACGCTTTTCCACCCATCAAAACCCCACTTTGAGCGCACGGAACTAGGTAATTTTCACGTCGTTTTGGACCAAAGGGCGGGAAAAGGGAAAAGGGGGAGTGGGCAGGTGAGCACAACGGTTGCCGCCCCTCTCTGAAGACGGTGCACAAATTTTTCTGTGTTGTGCGCTTAATTGCAGCTTGTTTGTTGCATGTCGCAAACTTTAACGATGCCCTTACAACTCAAGTGGGTACATTCCATAAACTTAGGGCGGGATTTTCCAGGAATGCTTTCTGTGTTGGAAAAATGCTTTAAAGCAATACAGATATAAATAAGTCTTAAATATAGATTTCAGTATCTGTGAAATTCTTCTTAAAATAAACTGTATTCAAAAGACAGGTTTTCAAAAAATGTTGGGACAAAACATTGTATAAGATGTAGTGTTTAGGGAAAACTGTATAGAGTCTACAAAAATTGTATAAAATTTAAGTTATTAAAAAAAAACAATATATACATATCTACAAAGAATACCAAAAAACAACTCTTAACTATTACTAGAATAATTTTTTTAAGAGGTTTCCAAAAGGAACGCTTTAGGTATAGACCTTTTAAAATATATAGTCTGAACTACAAAAATTATAAGATATTTAAGCTAATCATAAAATATGTAATATAACCTACATAGAATTTTAGAGTATAACTTTATATTTTTAAATGAATATTTTTTTTTAAGTTACCAAAAAAATGTTAATGGATCATAGATACCCACTTAACATTTCCTGAAAAGTTTTTGAAAATCACTTAAAAGTTTCCGAAAGGGCATGCGATCCGTGGGCGCATTTCCCAACTGGAAAACTTCTGTCTGCAGGGTCTTTAAGCATTTCTTGGGATTGCGTGGTAAAAATTAATTATAGCTCAAATCTGAGGCGAAACGCCGCAGAAAATGCCGGCACGAAGAGAAAAACCTGGCCACGTGTTGAAAGTTGTGGCAGCGAAAGGTGATTTGAATGGACTTAGCTGGGATTTCGAGATGATCTCGAGGAATTTGTTCTCTCTTTTATTTTTTATTTCACCCCGGCCAGACAAAGCAAACATTAACGGTAATCGAAGAAGAAAAGTAAGCACTGGCAATGGCTTAAGGAGAAACACCTCGCAACTCGTTTAGGCCAGGCCAAGAGTGAGCTCTGGGAATGGTCAGAGCTATGCAACAAGTGTCGAGCGGGCCAGCAGGCCAGCAATCTGGCAATCTGACAATCTGGCAATCCAAGCCGGATCGGGCAAGGTGGCCAGAATCGTCGTCTATAGCTATACATATGGTCAGGCCAATTTTGGACAATCTGCACTAAATTGTCCATTTAAGTGGGGCCGACTGAGCCGACTAACCCGATGTGAGCTGCTCCCCTCAGATCAACTGACTGCAATCAATCTGCTCGCATTTACACCTCTGCATTCAGACTCTCAAAATGGCCAGCGATTTATGAGGCCAAGGCACAATTGCAAGGGCGTTAGCATCGATGCAGAAACATTTCAATCTCCATCTATTTCTGTGTGTTTGGGAGGTGGAAATGACGCCCGTTGCGTTGGCCTCATGTTACATTTTCCATTTTCATGTAACTTAATTCTTGCATTAAAATGCATTCATTAACTGTTGCTTTGTTTTGCTGCCTTTGCTTTTGCATTTCCAAACCGCCAACAGCCACCGCAAAAAGTATCTCTCTATGGCGGGGGAAAAAAGCGAGTGGAAAATATTTTCGTATAGCTGACCTACCGCAAACAAAAGAAAATAGTAAACATTTTACTCACCACAGGAACGCAAACTTTCCCAATATGAAATGGAGTAGATTGTGCCCTTGGCCAATGATGGGGAGTGCAAAACTTGTCAGTTCCCTCTCAGGGTTTCAAATTCCCTTGAAATACCGTATCAAGTTTACTTTTAAACCATTTTAGAGTTAAGGCGTTAACATTCTTTTGTGTGCTTTCGAATTTTATTTTTTATGACCAACAGCTTAACGAAAACAAACTACACATTGTTGCTTTTAATCTTTGTGTGAGTAATAACAATTAGTAAACAATGAATTATAGTTTATGTTTAGCGTCGAAATTCTGTTCTAGAAACGATAAGAACTTCCTAAAACAGCTGGCCTCAAGCATAGATTTCGGTGTTTCACTTTTAATTTGAGTGTAAAAGAGTAAACACAATGTTCTCAACAAGTTGTAATTGCTTAAAATTAAGTTAATAGTTTAAAAGCCTTTTAAAAGTGAGCCGCAGGTAAATAATAGTTTAAAATAATTAAGGGACAATATGTAGACATAAAGAAATAGAACCCTCTTGATAAACCCACAATTTTCTTTCACGTAGGCGTCTGGTTTTTTTAACCACACCATTTTTGCGGTATATACTATTCCGTATTTAGCTTTTATCTTTCTGAATAAATAGTGGTTTGTGTATTTCAAATAAGAATTTAACGAGGTCTTAAAACATTTTTATTAGCTTTCCCGTATACGAATTTATTGCATTAAACGGAATTTTTATTTATTTTCGAAGCTATAGCGGAATCTTTTGTAAATCAGAATGATTGTGCAACAAATATATATTTGTTCTTTAATAATAAATTAAAAATATATTTGGGAACAGGAAAAATATAAAAATTTGGTGTTTGCTATTCAAATATTTTAGTAATTATATTTCATTTTTAAAATTCTGTTATATGTAAAGTATCTTTCTAAAGAACTGCAAACATCACTACCAACCGGCATTTGTTTACCCTTACATTACTCACAAACTGAGAAATACACTAAACTAATATGGACTTATAGAATGACCAGAACTTAACAACTTGACTAAACCATTTTTAGGATTCCCGGAGCCAGCTCACAGAAATGAGTCGAATTTGAGGGGGAATATGACTCAGGAACAGATCTCGAAGATACTAAGAATTTCGTAGATTGCGCAATGCAATGAGCAATGAGAAATTTCATTTGGCAGGCCAATTTGTTCTTGCCCCCGCTTCTAAATTGTATTTATGAGTTTTTTGGTTTGCTGCGTTTCGTTTCGATTCGGTTTTTCGGCTTCAGTGGGTTTTATGACGGAAGCACTACTCAAGAATCGACTTCAGTTCATTGAAGCCAATTCGAGAGCCGTTTACGGAAGTTTTTGGCGGGGTGGGTCTGGGTCCGAAAAAAAAGAGCCGTTTCGCCTGATTGCACAGGCCCCATATGCTCCCCGATGTCTTTTAAAATACAAAAAAAATGTATGGTACAAAATTGTTAATTGCCCCGGGATGGGATGGTTTGGGATGGGTTCTAGAAAAGCCAAAAAGAAAACCCTCGACTAAAGTCTGCCTCTGCACTCCACTTTCAGATGAAGTCCAACACGTACGAGCTGCACAACTACGCCGATCTGAATGACATGGATGTGTCGGAGGACTCCAAGGATTCCCGGAAAAGAAGACAGCCAGCGGATCCCGAGGTGAAAAGTATTCCCTGCGACAGAAGCGACAGAAGAGGAGCCCCACCGATGAGAGCCTACCCGACTTTCATTTGGAACTGGATCATATAGTGGAACCCTCGAGTAAATCTCGGAAAAATGCATCCACCAAGTCCAAGGCGAAAGCACCGCCTTTGAGCAAATACCGCGGAAAACTGCAAATGCCAGGGAAAGAACTAGGATGAGGAAATCAATACGGCCTTCGAGACCCTGAGACATTGTGTTCCCCAGGCAATAACCGGCGAGGATGCGGCCAATACCAACGAGAAGCTGACCAAGATCACCACCCTGCGACTGGCCATGAAGTATATTACGATGCTGAGTGATTCCATCAGGGATCCCAGTTATGAAAGTGAATTTATAGGAGAGTGTTTGGAGGAAAGTGCCAATCGAGAGGACAGAGTGGACTATGATATAAATGAGGAGCTGAGGTGGAAGTTGAGTTACCGGTTCCCGTGGCTAAAAAACCAGCCAAGGCAAGGGAAGTGGCAAGAAGAGTTCCACAGCCAGCAAAAGACAGAGCCAAAAGCAGGCCAAGATGGTGCCCCAGGCTCAGGCTCCACCACCAATAAGTTCCGGGGAGTCCTGCTATGCCACCTCCTCGATAGGATCGCCTGCCTCCTCCGCCTATGCCTCCCTCTCGTCCTCTTTATCCTCATCAAACAGCCAGAGTAGCAGTCCAGGATTGGAGGTGGACAGTTTGGTGGGTCTGCACCAGATCAGTGCTTTGGATTCCCTGCTCCTAGAAGCCTCTGATGGGGATTCCCTGTCCTGTTTGAGTCCCGGCTATGGAAGTCTGTTGACTGGCGGCGGGGAATCCCTGTTACCCAGCTGTCGAGGGGATCTACCCATGTCTTGCCTGGAAAAATCCGATGTGGAACTTAGTCTGCGTTTAGATCTAGATCAAAAATCCATGGACTCCTTCGACTTTGCCAGCGATCAGCAGCCTTCGTCCTGTATTGCAGCGTTTTCCACGCTGGATAGTTATCCCTATAATTTACTAGACACCGATCTAACGGACATGTTTCTCGCGTGACGCGTATTTTTTAGTAACCCCACACTGAACTACTCTCTTCTTAAGTTTAAACCCCTCGTTTTAAGTTAAAGTGCAAGTTTTAACCCGACTTTCCACACTTAGCCATTACATTGCGATGCGCCCGAGTGGCCGGAATTCATTGTGTCATAGCGAGCAGCTCCGAGGATACCCACTTATATCCACATCCTGCGAAGCGAAGAGCTGCTCACCGCCACATCCACATGATAACTCAACTCAACTAGTGATCTAAGCATTTCTTTGTGACGCATTTCTCGTTATCGTGTAAATAAAGCACCCAGTGTTGTTTCATGAATCAAGTAACCTATTTTATAATGGAAAGGGGGATCCTATTTTTCAGGAATTAAATAAAATCTAGAAGTATGCTATGAAGAAAAGAACGTCATGTTCGGCATAAATTCCCATGGATTTATCCGGATTATAAGAAATTCTTGCATACTTTTAAACACCTTATTTCTATTGAACAGAGTATGGAACAGAGAAAACTGTATAAATGTATACATCGAAAAACCGAACGTGGTTGAAAAAAATCGATTGAACTTCCTTGAAAAATTCAAAGAATTTTTTAGAAAGCAGTAGTCTTTCAGAAAAATTGTTTCTTAGGTATATTTTAAATAAATAACATCCACTGATATTAGTGGTCCAAAAATCCACTCCTCAATGGCTAGCGACAAGGTATTCATTCCGGAGGAGGACTTTCCCGGAGGTGTACAAGGTGTGCAAGCAGTTCGTACCGAGCGACGACGACCTCGAGAGATGAGGAACCTGATGGACCGTGAGATACACATGGGACTGAGTCGCGATCACCACGATCGTTCGACGGTTCCCTTGTCACATGAGCTATGTGCAGGATTTGCCGACGGGCAGGGAGCGTGGTCAGTTCCTAGCCCTCGAGATGATGCCCACCAATTGCAGGATAATGCTGGTGAAGTTCCAGCAGCGAAAAGGACATCTATACCAGTTCCAAGTGTGTTATAATGCCGCACACTGTGGCCGGCGGGAAAGGGTGCCGAGGTCTTCAACTTCCTGGCCACCAGTATTGCCAATTTCGTGAAGGACAAAAAGGTGGAGAAGGATAACCTCCCCCTAGGCATTGCCTTTGCCTTCACCCTCAACAAACTAGCCTTGGATGTGGGTATCCTAGTTTCGTGGACCAAGGAATTTGGAGCCCAGGGAGTCATTGGCAAGGATGTGGTTCAGCTTCTCCGCGATGCCCTGGCCAAGTTCCCCGAAATATCTGTCGAAGTCATGGGCATAATCAATGTGGGAGCTGGTTCCCTTTTGGCCCTATGTTGGGCCCAACCGGATACCAGGATTGGCTTAATAATGGGCAGTATTGCCAATTCCTGCTATGTGGAGAGGGTCGAGAAGTGCGAAATGTACGATGGTGAGGAGGACCGAAAACTAATGATCATCAATTCGGATTGGGCCCATTTCGGGGATAATGGAACGTTGGACTTCCTGCGTAATGAATTCGATCGCCAGTTGGACAACGAGTCCATAAATCCAGGTCAGCGGATCTACGAGAAGTTTAGCGGTGCCCTTTGCATGGGGGAACTCGTTCGCATTATAGTACTTCGCCTGATGAAAGCGGGCGCTATTTTTGCCGAAGACAGACGTGATTATATAGGGATTCAGTGGAAGTTGGATATGGTGTCGCTGATCGAGATAGTCTCGGATCCGCCGGGAGTCTATACGAAGGCCCAGGAGGTGATGGACAAGTTCCGGATCCGTCACTGCAAGGAACGGGATCTGGCTGCCCTGAAGTATATTTGCGATGCGGTCACAAATCGAGCTGCCATGTTTGTGGCCAGTGGAGTGTCGTGCCTCATAAAATCGCATGCGCTTGCCACAAATCTCGATCGCCGTGGATGGGGCATATATCGTCTCCATCCGACCTTTGCCACGATCCTGAATAAGTACACCCACATGCTTACCGATCCCAGGAACCGATTCGAGTTCGTCATCACCCAGGACAGCTGTGGCGTGGGTGCGGCCATCATGGCCGGAATGGCACATGCCACCAAATACAAAACGGACTCCAAGTTGTTTAATATGGATTATTAGAAATAAATTATTTTTGCTTGCGAAATTTTTTGACTTTATTTTAAATGTTCCCAAAAAATTGAGAACGAAAAAATACAAAATATCAAATAATCTCACAAATTAAGACTAAACGTTCTTTAAATAAACGAGATGGTACTCTCTCTTGATTTTGAAATGGAGATGCAAGTACATTTTTTTCGAAATAAAAGTAGTCTTACAATCCCTACATTCTTCATTGCTTTAGTTCTGAAAGACTTCTTGTCTCCTAATTTCAAGAACGTTTCTTCTCGAATAAGTGACATTACTTGGATCACTTCTGAGATCAAGAGAACGTTTATGTAAAATTATTTTTTTTGCTAACTGTTCACCATAAAAAACACCATATATGTAAAAGATCTAAATTAAATACAAATTTATCAAGAGATGTATGCAAATATTTTTTAAAAGCGACCCTTTTGATATATTTTTAACATTTTTTTTTTTTTATTCAACACAAATAGTTGGCTTTACATTTTCACTTTGTTTATTCGGCACTGCAGTCAAAATTGTTTTTCAAAATTTTTCATTTGGAAGTGGGCCATTTCTGGCGGTCGTGGGAGGACAATGCCGAGCCTTGTTAACATGGAAGTGGAGCTGGCGGTCAAGGGCTTCCTGATCGACCAGGAGAAGATGGCCGAGGTGGTGGAGCGCATGACCAAGGAGCTGAAGATGGGCCTGGCCAAGGACACGCATCCGCGGGCGGTGATCAAGTGCTTCGTCACCTATGTGCAGGATCTGCCCACTGGCAAGGAGCGGGGAAAGTACTTGGCCTTGGATCTGGGTGGCACCAATTTCCGGGTGCTCCTGGTGAACCTCGTAGGCCAATCGGACATACAGATCACGTCGAAGAGCTATGATTTCCCCAGCACCCTGATGACGGGAACGGGCAAGGCACTATTCGACTTTCTGGCCGAATGTCTGGCGGAATTCTGCAAGGAAAACGGTCTGGAGAACGACAACCTGCCACTGGGCTTCACCTTCTCGTTTCCCCTTCAGCAGCAGGGTCTTTCGAAGGGCATCCTGGTGGCCTGGACCAAGGGATTCAACTGCGAAGGAGTGGTGGGAAAGAATGTGGTAAGTTCTGGGGCTTTGGAACAAGGTATACCCATTTATCGCCTTGTTTTAAACAAATTCACACTTGTCTATATTCATTTTAAAATATATGTATCATAGATCGAAATATAATGTACGATACGATATATCTCTAGGTACAACTTCTCCAAGACGCCATCGAGCGAAGGGGTGATTTAAAGATCAATACGGTGGCGGTACTAAATGATACCGTGGGCACCCTCATGTCCTGCGCCTTCAACCATCCCAATTGCCGCATAGGTTTGATTGTGGGAACCGGCAGTAATGCCTGCTATGTGGAGAAGACCGTTAATGCGGAATGTTTCGAGGGATATCAGACCAGTCCCAAGCCATCCATGGTCATCAACTGCGAGTGGGGCGCCTTTGGGGACAATGGTGTCCTGGAGTTCGTGCGAACAGCCTACGACAAGGTGGTGGACAAGGTTACCCCCAATCCCGGCAAGCAGACCTTCGAGAAGTACATCTCGGGCATGTACATGGGTGAACTGGTGCGCCTGGTGGTTGTGGAAATGATTGGCAAGGGCGTGATGTTCGTCGGAGATAGTTCCCAGAAAATCCAGCAGCGATGGAGCTTCAAGAGTTCATATATATCCGATATCGAAAGCGATGGACCTGGGGAATATCGCTCCTGCAACAAGGTCCTCCACGAACTGGGCATCATTGGTAGCCAGGAAGCGGATAAGGAGGCCCTGCGGTTCATCTGCGAGGCGGTCTCCTCGAGATCTGCCAAGATGTGTGCCTGCGGACTGGTCACGATCATCAACAAGATGAACATCAACGAGGTGGTCATCGGCATCGATGGCAGCGTGTATCGCTACCACCCCAAGTACCACGACATGCTCCAGTTCCACATGCGGAAGCTCCTCAAGCCGGGCGTCAAGTTTGAACTGGTTGTTTCGGAGGACGGTTCCGGCAGAGGAGCTGCTTTGGTGGCCGCCACGGCAGGCCAGAGCAAGCCCAAAATGTAAAATTGAGGCTTATGCAGTGAATCAAATCTCAGTTTGATTATAAATATAATATTTTCTTTGAAAACAAATAATGAATCCACTATTTTAAGCAAAACACAATATTAAAAAGTCACAAAAACATACAACAGAAAATATAAAGATAAAAACAAAAACAATACGATTTATTTGAAATTTATAATCAACATTTTGTTACTTTAGGTAATTATTAAATAGTGTTGAATACAACTTTTATTGACTCACAATACACAAACCTTTTTTAAATTTGGCGCCAAGGTTCATTGTTCTTTTTCTGACGATCTGGCAACGCCACACATTCACCGGGTCTATCGATAGCAATTACATACAATCGGTATTTGATTTTGGTACTTCTTGTACTTTTTCTGTACTTTTACTTTACAAATTTAAATATTTTACACTAGTGTACCTTTTCCACTCCATTTCTTGCTCTTGCTAACGTTATAGTCTTCGCACAGCTGGTACAAAAAATTACTTGTTTCAAAATGATAATTAAACAGTAGGACAATATGCAGAAGAGCAATATTTATATTATTATTTATTTTTTATACATTCAGAAGAATAAATTATAATTGGCAAGAAACTACATTTTATTATATTATATTTAAAATATTGCTGATGTACAATTTAGTTGCTGTTGCAGATGCGCAGACAGTGTGAATGGTTTTTTAATGACAGTGTTGCCGGATCGTTTAGGGAACATATTGTTAATAGGTAGCTAGAAAATAGTGACTTCCACATCTGGTAGCACTGCTCGATTTGCAAACATTCGTCTTTCAACCAATTTAAGGGAATTTAAAGCAATTAGAGGATTCCTGCGAGCTCTTCGAGGCCAACTGAGGTTACTTTAAGCCAAGATAAGCAGGTATGTCACCAAGAAGGCCTTGCCTTACACACCAGTTCAGTGGAAGCGCCCATATTTGGGGCTGCTGGAAAAGGCAAGGCCAGCTGTCCATTTGGGATTGGATTGGGACACTACTCCAATCCCAAGATGATCGCCCTAAACCAAATGCATCGGGCGCTGCAGAGCGAGGCCATTAATGCCCTCGTCCGCCTTTTCAGCGGCAATATGTCCCAAGGCGGCGGCACTACTCCAGCGGGCGGCAATCCCACGGCGCTCCAGGCAACCCAAGGGGGCGTGGTCTTCAGCAAGGTCTTCATACAAAGGGACTACAGCGAGGGCACCTCCGTGAAGTTCCACACCCGACTGCCCACAGAATTGGAGGGCATGGTGAGTATGCCATCGGTATCTCCAGGAATTACAATCAACATATGTCTCCACTCCCGTACAGATTGAAAGACACGTCTTCGAGGCCACCATCAACAGGCTAAACGAGTTCTACGCCGAGGCGGAGGAGGGATCCTGTGGCACCTACTGCGAAGGATGCATTGGCTGCATCACCGCCTACTTGATCTACATGTGCTCCGAAACGCACTACGAAAAGGTGCGTCATTCGGGTGGATGATACCATAATCAGGGGTCAAAGTAATAGCACTGGAGATATGTGGCTACGTCTATAGGGTGTGAGCTAGTAGTGGCTTTCTATGTGACCTAGTTTTACAGGCCAGTCATCACAAATTATTTCATAGTTCGTGGTTTTTTGTTAGGATAGCAACAAGGCAGTTTCCGGTGCTATTGATTTGACAACAACCTGAGTACAATTACCACCCCCATTAATGTTCTGCCACCCCCAACAGACCCTTCGCAAGATATCCAAATTTGTGGCTTCCCAAAACGAACGCATTTACAACGCCAAGGGTCTGCAGCTGATCGATCCAACCTATCGGGGTCTCCGCGTCATAGAGATTACAATATTCGATCGTCCGGGGCGAACGTGACTTCCACTTTCCCATTCAGCCAACGAGTTTTTCATGTGAGATCAACCAACAGCCACAGCCGCATCAACAGGAGGTAGAAGGAGGAGAGTCCGTTTCAGCAATGATTAAGCAAAAGTCAGCGCCATTGTGTGTGTTTCCAAAAACTATATAAAAATCAATACAAAGCTGTGGGATCAGCTAAAGCTTTATAACCTATAACCATATGTGTGAGTAGCTACGATAGCCCATATAATTCCCAATCCATAATAATGCATTTCCGCATCCTTGCAGCTTGGCAGAGCAGCGGCCGGAGCGTTTTTGGGGCATGCGACTTAGTCACGGGTGTGCTGGGAGACAGCCTCCGCTGCAGCCACATACGATATGCTAGATTAGCCGTTAATGATTAGCCAAGGCAGTGTACGGCCAGTTAGTTAGTATTTATGCATTAGCAGGCATAGTCATGTAAGTGAAAAGCTACCGAAACTGCATTTTGAGCCGAAGCAAGCATCAACATATACACACATTCGCATATGTTACCATTGTTCTACTTATCAGCCCGAAAGGCCAGCGAGAATTGATTGTTTTTTAATTGAAAGAAATTGTATACATCTTGTTTGTAGTAGTTACTAACAATTCTATTGTCTAAAGTTTTAATTTTAATGGCATAACACATAATACATAAATACATAGTTCAAGCTTAATCAGACAAGCATACGCATAACGTTTTCTATACAAAACTCTTACCGATTTCAAACAGCGCCAAATGAACTTACACATAGACAAGTGGATAATTGTTCGATTTTAAATATAAATCAGCAACATTGATTAAAATAGTTAAATATCTTATAAGGAAAAATATATATTGCCGTCATTTAAAGAAGCCTACAACTGTTTTTCGGCGGAGGGTAAACATCAAATGAAAAGCAAACATTTTAAAAACTGTGTGTACTTTGCAAAATTTGTTTTGCAGATTTTCATTGTGTTCCGCTATTTACTTTTCATCGCTGGCTGTTTTTTTGTTTTCTGGGTTAGGGATTTCTCGGATATATAAAGGCCTCCTGAGGTCTACGGAATACAGTCACTATTGTTTCAACCCACAACAATGAAGCTAGCAACCTATCTCTTGGCCCTGGTCTTGTTCGCCGGATTCTTCCTGCTCCAGCCTTCCTCTGCGCAGACGAACTCCACCACTAATAGCACTACGGAGGCATCTACAACCACGACCACGACCACCGCCTCGCCCAGAACTGTCAATAGGAAACATGTCACGATCACTAACATGAGATACAAAGTCGTTCGCAGGATTAAAGTAAACAGGAACAGAACCGGTTAAAATAGACGCAGGCTTACGAAAGTTTTGACAATAAACAAAAAAAATTTCTAAAATAAACATGAAAGACAAATTATTTAATAAATTTAAAAATTTATGGAGTTCCTCTCCTGGTTTGGGGGATTATAAAGATCTAAACCAGTGGTCGGCAGCGTCCCATGATCGGATCTAGATACGATTTTGTATGAGTTAAAACCTCGATTCCAAATTCAAGAATAAGTCATTCGATTTTCCTTTAAAAAAGTTAGTTAAATAAGTATTCTCCAGAAATTCCAATTAAGTTAAAAATATATTTTTATTCCAATTGTAGCAACAAAAATAATCTACTTAGCGAACACCCTTGGTTTTAGTTGGTTCGCTATTAACAGCGTGCTGACCAATATAATTTAACTAAATTTAAATTTAAATATAGCTAAGAAATATAAGAAGACTTAAATTTTTTGATAATTATTGTATCATATTTGGAGTTGGGAAACATTCCAGGGACGTTTATTTTCGCAACAAGCCTAATAATATACAACACATCTAAGATTTGCTATTTGTATATTTTTCTATATATTTTTTAAAGCAACAAAATTCATACGGTCTTTGCTCTCTATTAGACTACACCAGCTCTTTTCTGCGGATTTTCCCTTTCCTTCGACGCACCAAAATAAATAAAATGTAACACTAAATGATAGGTTCTTGTCCAGGTTCCGTGGTTGCAATGGTGCGGGCTTCCGATTCCGTCAACATATCCAGATTAAGTCCCGCCTTACTTTCCGGCATCGTTCATGTTCTTGGGCAGGCTCAAGAGCGAGTTGATGAGCTCCGAGTTGCGCTTCCGGATGGGCACAGCCGGACCCAGGGAGTTCTCCAGGATTAGGGGATAGCGGCACAGAGTGGCCACCTGGCCGGGGCTGAACTGCCCCACATTGTTGAGCCAGTCGAGCAGATCCCGGTTGTACTCCTTGCGCACATAGCGCTCCTCATCCGGCAAGGCCATGGCCCCGGAGGATCCCCATCGGGCGGAAATGGCCAGGAGCACAAGGATGACGACTGCGAAGTTGTAGCGAGCCATTTTCCTAAGGAGCTGCTGGAGGGAGAAGCTGGAAGAGGAACAGAGCACGGGACACCTGCAGCAGGAGACTTGCGAATGATTATTGGCTGGGATATCCCCGACTTATATAGGAACCCGGACTAGGCAAACCCCAGCGGGAGACCGCGCAACCACGCAACCCGAAAGCGTCAGTATCGGTGTCAGCTGCAGGACCAATACATGTCATCCACAGTCCTCGATGGTCCTTCAAGTCGGGTAAATACGGAGTCAAGTTGGATCCACGCAAATATTTGATTATGCAGTGTTTTATGTGCCAACATGCAGCCACGCAGGAACCAAATCCCATTCGGGTCCAGCCATATTTGTTCGGGAAGGAAGCTTACTGGCGACACTATATGGCACTCAGAAAAAGGGGGTCTTTATATAAATATTATAAATAAATAATTACAAAATTGAGTTCTTCAATAAGTAACGTTTTTGGAATGATAAGGTGTCAGATAAAATATTGTTTTTAGTTCCTCAGAGCTTATTATATTCAAAGAGTTCGCAAAAATAAATAAAAATATATAGCTTTTAAGTAATAAAACTTAAACTCATTAAAAATTGGACCATTTAAATTCCATAAAATCCTATACATCGAAGAAACGCTTCTTCAAAATTGTTTATTAAAATAGAAAAAGAATTATTTGTTTATAAAGTACTCAATAATATAGAAAAATTTATCATATATTTCTAGGAAAAAAAAACTAATAAAACTGTTTTAATAAAATCAGAACTAGTTTTTAGCGTAACCCCTTTATTTTCCTTCAAGTGTAGTATATGATTAATTTTAGAACAGGGTCGTAAAACTACAAGCTAGTCTTATATATCTTATTTAATAGCTAGCGGATGTTGGCCCATTCGTAGGAATTCCAGCTTGTTCTTTTGTTTGATCACCAGACTGTGTAAATATGGCCAAAAAATTTTGCGCAGACGTAATTGGCGAGAGCATAATGCTTATATTTGCCAAGCAAATCTACCGATTGTCTTGGCCGCATATAAAACTGCCAGCCGGTGAGATGGAGTTCAACAGAGCAACAGCATCACACACCACAAGATGAGGACAGGACAACTGGCATTGGGATTCCTGGCGTTATGCCTTACCATTTGGCTAACCGACGGAGCCACGTCGACCACATCCACGGAATCCTCGACGTCCACAACAACCACCACTGCATCCACCACCACAACCACCACCACCACCACCTCGTCCTCGTCCTCCTCCCATCGCAAGAAAGTCTACATGACCAATCTCAGGTACTCGGTAAAGCGGAAGGTCCGTGTCAACAGGAACTCCACCTCCACTTCCAAAAGCAAAAACAAGAGCAGGAGGAAGAACCGATCTTCAAGACGCGTCAACTCCCGAAGAATTAATAGGCTCCTCAATCGCCGCAATCGGGGATAACTTACTATACCAAAACATGTCAACGAAAGCAATAAAATACATTTCTTAAAAAAGTTATATTTGGTGCTAAAATTTTCTAGAAGGCAACTAGTTACTAGTTATTAGAATACTTGATAAAAGGTATTGATGTAGTCTTTTTATAAACATGGTTCAATTTTGAAAAAATTATCTAGATCAAGGGACTACCGCCTTATTTAAAGAAAGAAATAATTAATTATATAGCTCTATTTCATGAAAATACTATTCATTTTAAACTTATTCTATTATATATAGGATACCCATAAAAGTAGGTAACGTATTAATATATTTCGTCTTATAAACATGATACAAATCTGTACAAAATTAATCGATCTAGGGGTTTTCTTATTATACCTCATTATCCTTAAAAATTAACTTCCATATGTTTTCCTTATATGCATGACATAAATCTGTACAATTTAACCAGATCTAGGGGTTCCTTTGTTGTATTTTAAAGGGTATTGATTTCTATCTTAATACCCATAAAAATAAGTAACTTATTAATACTTTCCTCTAAACAAATATTCTGATTCTATGGATTCTCTTGTGCTTTGAAGGAAAGTTAACTTATAATATTTTTAACTTATGCCACCTTATATTAAATACCTATAAAATATGAAACCTATTAGTATTTAGCCTTAAACCCAGTCCATTATTCTAAAATTTCTTTGTTAAAATCAACAGGTGGCCCGTCTAGCATGGCTCTGCGCATTTAGACCACAGCCATCATATCATCCTTCACTTAGCCCTGTTCAATGACTTCACGTGCGGCGAAAACATTGACCCAACTTCTGCCCACATGAGCGTAAACATCGGCTATATCTTCGCGGGTGGTTTTACGATGACTATAACTTTCCTTGCAGCCACATTACCACGGTTTTGATGGCCAAGGCTCGGCGTCGTTCACTCCGGCGATTTGTTTGCACTGCATTTGTGACCGACCAGAACCAGACCCAAAATCCGGTGGGTGGAACTGGGACTCCTCGCTTATCGTCCGCCAATGTCCACCGTTGGCTGTCTTAAAAGTCAGCTGAAGCATTTAACGGTCGTGTGATTTCTAGGTACACATGAGTATAACACGCATGGGTTCGATTTCGTTTGGGATGTCAGTACCAGGAGCGTTTCAGTTAAGGAATATAGAGATATATTGCAAATAATATTAAAATACGATGAAAAAAAATGGATTTTTATCATTAGTATAAGTTTCTGTAGAGATATGTCTTCAAAACAGCATGAAGCTACAGAGCCTGATTTAAAAACCTTTTTTGGGCATCAAAAATATTGTTTATATTTTATAATTTTAGCTAAAAAGATATTATTTACATATTATTCCTTAGTTCTGATTTTAAACTCGTTTGGATTGTCCTTTCTTTACCATTATGTTATTACAATTTTGGAAACTAAATGCTACAGTTTTTTTTTGATAAAACAGAGATTAAAATTATTTAAAGATCTTCATTCTCAGATTTGAGTAAAACTGAATCGTTTTGGTGTTCCTTATAACATGTATTTAATTCGATCCTTCTTTTCTAGAACCTCCATTTCGTCCCTGGCCAAAACGAAGATGATTCGTCCTGAAACGCACACACAGGAATACGGACATCGGGACAGGGGTCCGCGGCCATTCACCAATTACGCGCCATTCGCCGCGGTGTCCTTAATTTCTTAAAAAGCGTTTAAACATCTAATGAAAGCATTTCGCAGCCCAGCGATTTCTGCTGTCGGTGGTCTCAGTTGCGTTTGCCTTTTCGCCGTGTGCGGTTCGGTTTGATTTTTGGTCCTGGTTGGCGAACAGCGGGCAGAGACCTTCGCAGGATTATGTCATTGCAGCCATGGCCAAGATAATCTCCACGATCAAGGCCATCCTCACGAGGATCATCTTCAGTGCGCACAGTCTGCTGGCCATTTGGCAGGTGGTCGCCCTCAAGAGTGATATCATATACTGGGCACTATGTGGACCCCTCTTGCTGCTGCTGCTCGAGGGCATCTTCACCATCATGATCAAGAAGACACAGGAGTGGCGCTGGTAAGGATCGTAACTATGGGATCTTGGGATCTCTGATCTGATTTATCTCGCGAACCGAAATGTAAACAACGGTCAGCCGACGCTGACGTCATTCCGCGGGCTTTGATTTTCAATTAAAAGTGAAATCATGTGTTTAATGTGTGGCTAACCTTACCACCCACTCTGAAGAAAATCACAAACTTCGGGGCCACACCTCCGCACTCAGAAAAAAAAGAACCTTAAAATAAGAAAAAACCCAGGAAAAAAATTAAACGTAATGAAGATTGTTTTTTAATCAAGCCGCAGAGTTTTAAAATATTCTACCTCGATATTGGGTTTTCCAAGACTTAAAATTAATACAACAACCAACGTTTTACCCACATATAAGAACTTTGATAGAGTTGAAAACAAATACTAAATTAAAAAAATTCGAAACAAATAAGGACTATAACTTATGTGGAACTCAATAGAAATATTCTTTGAAAGTTATAAATTTAAACAAGATTATTTAAGAAGAAAAATGTATTCTTCTTCTTCAAAATCAGCTTACAAAAAACTAAAAATAAAGTCAAAGATTTAAAACACTATATGAAATTTCAACGTTTTCAGCAATTTATAACTATTCTAGGTAGATTTTAATTGTAGGTGTAGATGTCCACCCCAGGTTTTATATAGTAAAAACTTTAATGGAATTTCTTGTGGAGCGGGTGGGTTTCGAATGGATGGAGGAGGAGTGGTCTTTCGACTCTTGTTTACCTTTCGTCGCATCACTCAGACTTGTTGTTTGTTTTGGCTGTTCGGTGGTGCCACCTCATTTGTGTCCCTTGCCCCGCAGGTTCTGCCCCTCGGTGTTCCTCTACCTGAGCAGCATTGTGCCGGCTATTTGGCTCCTGGAACTGGACAAGGTGGCCAAGCGAGTGGCCAACATGACTTCGACCAACACGACTGTCTACAGCCCGAGCAACTTCACCATTCCCGGAGGGGGCAATACCACTGGGTTCTTGATTAGCACCAACAGCAGTGTTCCCCCGGTGGCCACCCTGCTGGGACAAGCCGGGGTCACCCTCTCGGTGACCCCGGACACTTGGACAACCCTCATCGAGCAGTTCCTCATGCTCATCCTCATCGTGGGTCGCTGGCTGCTGCCCAAGGGAGATCTCACCAGGGATCAGCTGAGTCAGTTGCTGCTGGTCTACATTGGCACGGCGGCGGATATCATCGAGTTCTTCGATTCCTACAAGGATGACTCGATAGCTAGGATTGGCTTTTTGGTTTACCTGACCCTGGGGATTTGGTCCTGGAGCCTCATGCAGTTCACAATTGTGTTATCCGCCACAAGGGGAAGAAGGCCAAGGGGCAGTGGATCCCATCACAAGGAGGAGTAAGTAAAAATATTATATATCTTCTTAAGGATTTATATTTAAAACCAAATGTATATGTACCCATCTCATTTCTGTTCTAAAAAAAATACCCTGTTCTTTTGGAACCCTTATCTAACTTTAATTTGTTATTCTTTAGACATACAGACTGTTGCCAAAACTGCTGTTGTGGAATAGATGTGTGGGGCATTGTTCTCAACGTGATCCTGCAGGATGCCCCCTTCCTCACTTTCCGTTTGCTGATTATCTTCCAGTACAAAATTATAAACTACATGAATGTCTTCTTCACCTGTAAGTTTTTTATTAGACAATTGGTTGAGAATTTCCTATTAATCATTTTTTCATATTCAGGCAAAAACTCCTTGGTTATAATCCTCCAGCTGTATCGTCTTTATGTGGTCAACGCCGAGTTCTGGAAGAATCGTCGGGAGAGTCGTATGGCCAAATCACGTCAGTTCCAATCTCGACGGAAAGTTCAGGATGCAGATCAGAATAGCATTTACATGATATCCAATGAACGAAGTGGTGATGTCAAAAAGAAAATCAGAAAGTGAGTATTCATTTTTGAAGATGGTAGACTTGGGAAAAACTTAAGAGTAACTTTAATTTCTACTCGGAATAATTGCTCAACTCATAGCACTGTTACCAATTATTCAAAGGTTTACCATTTAAATCTAATATAACTCTTTTTAGGTTATATATTATTTTTTCGATGTTCTTTGAAAATTATAAACTTTTGTTTTTTTACTTTTAGGGCTAAAGACAAGGAATATGTGGAGCAGGAGGCGATGTACAGCAAAAAGAAAAAGGATAAGAAGGACAAGTGGGTTATCCGGGAATAATATGTTTCCACAAGAGACTTTTATAAATAAGCCTCTATTTTTAGGAAAAAGCGAAAGCGCAAAGATACTGGTTACTCCACGGCCAGTTCGCAGAACTTGTATTCCACCAAGGCTAGTGGTACGGATAAGGAATCCCGTCGCAAGGACAAGAAGGCCAAGAAATCGAAGCGCACCTGCAGCAGTTCCCCGAGCGATTGCGACTTGGCCAAAAAACAGAAGCGGGGCAAGAACGGGGATAAAAACGATAAGAAGTAGGTAATACTCAGGGACTTCACAAGTTATCCCTTCATTAAAACTCGTATCTCTCCATAGAAAATCCCGCAAAATTGAAGCAGTTGTTGAGGAGTCGAGCAGCTCGAGTAGCAGCAGCTCCGATTCCAGTAACTCCACTTTGCCAAGTTACGAGGTTATTGACGAGAAGAAGGCCAGGCGGAGGAAGCACCGCGGAAGCAGTAGCGACACCTCTTCCGGGGACAGCAGCTCCTCCAGCTCCTCGTCTTCCAGCTCGGACTCGTCGTGAAGAAGGCATTTTTTTGGAACTAACGCCAGACGTTAGGGAATCAGTTTTTTGGTCGTCACTTGGGCACATTTTTTAGTGATTGAACCACCCTGCTCCGGAAACGCAGATCTTTTGTAAGACCTTTATGAGCGGGTCGAACCTTTTTATCATCAACACATCGAGCTTTAGTCTTGAAAATATCAGAAGCTTATAATAACATCCTTGAGTTAAAAATTAATAGTACGGAAACTAAGATA